TGTTATGTTGCTGCTTCTGGAGATACCTGTTTTGTGCTTTAGTCGGCGCTTGCCCTTGCGCTCTTGATTAACTTGCTGCTGCTGCTGCTACTGTTGCTGCAGCTGCTGCATGAGCTGTTGCAGTTATTGCTGCTGTGTTGATGCTGCATTGTAAGCTAGAGATATTTGCTGTTGGGGGTGAGGGATTACAAAGGTCAGCCGTCCGAGTTAGTATAGTGGCTAGTATTTCCGCCTGTCACGCGGAAGACCCGGGTTCAATTCCCGGACTCGGAGTTTTCGCAAATATTTTTAATTTGTTTGTAATAACGTACTTCTTTATGCGGCTTATTATCAGCATATCATTTATACTCTCGACGGAGGCTCTGCATGAGTGAATGCCCTGCAGCAGGAGCTTTTGCATGACTGGCTACCAAGCAGCAAAAACCACCTCCTCTCAGCACTACTCGACGACCTATATGCTTCTGAGCACAGGATGCGTGTAAACAGAAGGTGAGCTTAATTGGCATTAGAGGGCTTTCTCGGAAGACGCCCTGGCCCCCAGTCTACGTGGGGCGCGTTGACGAAGGCTAAAGAGCTAACAACTGCACGGGCACATCCTCATCCTCATCAAATCATCTCAGTACTTATCCAAGTTCGTATTAATGGTCAGGACTAACTTGTGCTATTGATTGCTGATACCTAAAAGTTCTCCGAGGACATACAACAATCTGTCTATTCAGCGATACAGTCTCTGCAACTATGCTTCATCAACAGCAGACAGGAGATGAGTGCCGATGAATCTGCTGCCGTAAGATGAGAGCTCAGGTCAGAAATAATTATAATACCATTATCATATTAGCATTATACTTGGTCTCCACATTGGATCAGCTCTCCACTTCCTTATCGTGTGCATGCCGTGGGAGACTCGCAGAAAGATACGAATTCGTCTTCTAATAAACAGTATTGATGATCACTCTCCAATAGCAAGAAAGAGAGCGCACAGACCAGGCGTCTCAACAGCCTTCGTGTCCTCCAGTATAAGAACAGTAATGTCAGTGGCCCAAGGACAAAAGAACTATGAAACTCGAATGCAGTGCAGCGGCGGTGCAGGAAGCAATGAATGCATGCATTCTATGTGCTATGACAGTTGTTCTAACATCGACATTTCGGGAGGTCTATAAGGCCCTCACCCGAGGCAGCCGAAAAGGGCGCAGTTGAAGGGAGGGTCCCCATATGTTTTAAATAACCCTCAGCTCCCATATGCACCAACCGAAGTGCCTTGATAGGCTAATCACAATTATTTTGATCCACCGAATTGGAACTGGATGGTTATATGCATAGATGCAATGCTGATGTTCATCTGCAGTATACAAGAGACCTAGAAGCACTGGCAGCATGCTGTGCAACTCCTAAATGAGTAGTTGTGGCTAGACAA